ACAACCTGTTGGGAAAAGTTCCTCTGTTGTCTAGACATCTGTGTTGTAAAACCCATCGACTAAAAAGGGCAACAATGAGGCATGCTTTGCCGTATCTTCCCAGCAGTAATCCAGTGTAGGCACGGCGCAGACATTGTAACTTCCGTCGAAGGAGCACAGTAGGGAAGCAGTGGGAAGCATGCTTTCGGCTGGTGCTCACTGTTCCCCCTATTTGGTGAAGAAGGGTCGGGAAATATTCGGCACACATGTGGTTGTGAAGAAGACATAGTCACATGAAAAGGAGCATCTTTCTATGCAAAATATGCAAAATATCTATAAATAAAAAAGTATTTATAAGTAGAAAATAACGTGAATTCGGTATTGGTTCACATAGCCCCAAATGGTAAATTATTTCCCGCGCTATATTTCACGTACCGTACATACCGCAAGTGATGAACGACTAGAGTCTAGGAGCACATGATCAAAACACAAAGTACATTTGGATTATTCTCATTTAAAGATAGGACTGAAATATACCAAATGGCTTCCGCTAAAAAAATGCACTTTCACGCGGGTACTACCCGAAATGAGGAACCTTTAGCCTGATGAATGTGTGCGCTCTGAGCTTGAAAGTCTTACTTTGTCCCGCTGTGATTGCTGGATCAACGGTGAGAAACCTGTTGGCCAAGCTCTGTTCAAACCGGATATAAGTAAGAATGGGTTCCCTCCCGAGGCGAAAATGCTCCAGGGGAAAGAGGTCAAGCACCTCGAGACGCGTTTCGTAGTCCACGTATTTGAGGCCGGCAAACATTCCCGTAGCGGTTCGCTGGACACATTCAATGAGAGTGACGTCTTTCATGCGTCCTGAGTAGACAACTTGGTTAGCGTATTTCACGAGCGGTCTGACGTGGACCCCACAGAGTATTCGGAAGTCCATGCAAGTATTACCGCATAAAGTGCGCCAAATAATCCGTAAAATGGCGAAAGCCCTTTGGCCCGATTTCTCATGGTGCAGTGAGAAGGACAAGTTTGAGGAGAGCCAGATACCCAAATTCTTTTTACCGTCTATCCGCATGATGTTTTCATTTCCTTTCTCGCCATGCATGAAAATGGCATCCGCTGAGTGTACTCCAAATGACATAGGTATGCACTTTTCGCCATTCGGAGAAAGGTGCCGGTCCAACAATTACTGTTTCGCAGCGTCTACATCCGTTTGGAGGGCACTGGCATTGAAACTCCAGGATTTTAAGCGGCCCGCAAAAAGTAGACATAGACTTGCAAGAACATCTTAATGTCGTTGACGTATATCAGATACAGCGGAGTTATCAAAACGGAGTCTTGAGGAACTCCAATGGAGACCGGCGCTAGAGAAGAGTGGCTAAAACCTACCTTCACTCGGAATCAAATGTCTCCTAGGAACGCATTGATCCAGCGAAGGATTTTTCCTTGAATCCCGTAAGACTCGATTTTGTGGAGCGGTGGGACGTGTGCGGTTCCATCAAATGTTTTTGGGAAATCGAGCGATATGGCATGTGATACGAGGCCCTCGTCCTTGGTTTGAGTTCAACTGCCCATAGGTACGAGAATGTTCGTCACTCAAGAACGGTTTGGAGAAATCCGTGTTGAGCTAGAAATATCAGGCCCTTGCACGGCACGCTGTCTAGGATAGCTTGCTTGAGAATGCGTTCCATCACCTTGCACGGCACGCTAGTGGGGCCCATGCGGCTGTAGCTCACACGTGATAGTCGGTCACCAAGTTGAAGATTGGCATGACAATCGCTTCCCTCCAAGCAAAGGGAGGGCGGCGTTCGTCAAACGACTGACGAAGCACCAGGTATATATGATTTGCCAGTATGGAGGATGTTTCCTCAGGATCTTCGGATATACCTCGTTGGGCTACAGCGCACAGAATGGGTTGATCTTATGCAAGGTTTGACGGACGTCCTCCACCGTGAAGACCAAGTCGGTTAGAGGCTGTTCGTAGTTACGCCTTGACAAGAGTGAGTGTGACAAGGGCACTGGGGCTGGACATTGACCAGCATAGTGTTCCCTGTAAACCTCAGGTACCATTGTTGGGTCAATCGTGAGTTCTCCGTTCCTGCCTCCCGAGTGGAACACGGATGCCTTGTTCCTGCGTTGAGGTCTCATGCAGTTGAACAGCAGGTTTATGTTGTTTCGAGCGAGGTACAGAATGGTGGCCCGTTTTTACATGTTCCATTGGCGGAGTTCTGATTTACAGCGGCTCCGAATTTTACGAAATGTCAGCTTACTTCTTTATTTCCTGCAATCAACATTTCGAAAAAAGTTAGGGTATCTTCTACAGAAAATGACGAATCCTTTTGGGCAGCCCGCGGCTTATCTGACTGCGTGCTGGTTTTTAGGTAAGAGAATCGCGTCAGCCTCATGAACTTTCTGGACAATGGTAGTATATGAGTCTTCCGCTGGTCTCAGTCTAACTGCGCATTCCCGAGAAGTCTGTACGGCAAAAGCCTCGAAACCACGTTTGAATTTCGAGTTTTCTGGCCCAATAGCAGATGAAATCAGAGATCAACGAACAGCGGTTGCTACGTTCAGTAGAGCGTTTATTATTACCTTATCAACGAAGTCTTTCATTAGAGATGACTGAGTCCACGAATGCTAGTAGTTGGCATACGCGGTATCTGACGGGTGCAACGACATAATGAGTTCAAGCGCTCTATAAGCAATTGCTACTTGTAGTTCTTTCAGCACCATCTTTTTGACGACCAGACTTGTTTTTGATCAAAGATTTGGAGCAAACTCCCGCCTTTCTGATTTCCTTGACACTTTGGCGTGGTTTGATCGGAAAGTTGTCTCTGTGAGGACATGAGCGGTGGGTGACGGCACCAATGAGTAATTCTTTTGGTGGCGTTCCCGTGTGGCTCGTTCCAGCAGAGGACTGAACCCTGAAGCCAGACAGCAGTTTTCTGATTTAGTGAATCTTATGTGGCTTGTTTGGCCGCAGTCGTCTTTCTTTCGTGTTTGTGTGGACACCCGATCTGCTGGCGATCAGCGCGGCCAACTGGATGTACGAGGGACTTTCCGGTTTACTGTGGTTACGTTTGTTGCTTTGGCTGTCGGGGGCCTTGGCGACGACTGTGTCCACAAGCGAAGGGGCCATTTTTGACGGAATGGAGTTGGAAATCAGCAGTTTCACATTCTCAGTGATCGTACGGTTGTCGTAGCATTTTCCAGGGTTGAGGTCAACGCATGTGATTGATTGGTCGGTGGAATCAGCTGCGTGCTCCCTCACATCTGACTCAGTCCAGCTCAGAAGAGGTGACTGCGGTGAGTAGCTCACTGCTGCACGTTTGTCGTCTGTTACGGAAAGATAGCTGTGATAGCTCTACGCACTTTGGAAGCTGCTTCCACGTGAGGCTTGCCTTCTCCAGGGCAACACTGCTTCTGGCAAACGAGGGATCTGTGATGTCTGAATAGAAACCGCTGTCCGGAGACACGGCCGGTTGCGTCGACTTGCTTTTAGGAGCCCAAGGGCTTTGACAACAATCGGTTTGGCCATGAGTTTGGGGTCGGCTGAACGGGTACCAAGCGGAGGGCTGTTTCGAACCTCTCCCCTAGAGCTGCTGTGGCCAGGCTTTTGCGCCTCCAGAGGGCAATCCTCAGATAGATGCCTGAGCGTTGGGTAGGCCCTACGAATGCTGTCAGCCGACTCCTATTTCTTCTGCACGATAGATGGGGGGAAAGGTGACTAGAAGCTCAGGGGCTCGCTTGTTTCCCTTCCAGAGTAGCCATTCTGCTTGAAGCGACTGGTGATCAGGCTTAGTGAGGACACTACCTAGGAGCGACTCTGCCAGCTCCTTTGGTGGGATTTTTCCGGAGAATGATCCCCAGATTATCATTCTGGTCTCCCTTAAGCGCCTGTCCAATGGAGACGCGGCTGAATGGCTTTCCTCGCAGGCAACGAAACCGGGATCGATAGCGCGAAGTACCCGTTCAGCGAAGAAAGTTCTTTATCAACTTTCGCCCAGGTCGCTGCATTCTTTGTGTTTGCATCCCACAGCGATTTAGAAAGAAGCTTCAGTTTCTCGTCGAGTATCCCGATCAAAGTGGAACAATCACACCGGTCTTTCTGATTCAGCAATTGTGATTTGGTTTCGTTTTTGATGGCTATCTTCTTAGCTGCGATATGCATTGCACCCTTAATGTAGAGGCAGATGGCTCAGACAAACGGGTCAGGAGAGTTAGCTAATTGGCTTACCTGGTCATCTTGTAAACCCATGCATTGAGAGTGCCACAAGGCCCTGCAGGTGTGGCATTCCATACGGGGTTTTAAGTTTTTCGCCCACATCTGCTGTGGTCTATCGATGGCTGCAGAGGGCAGTCTGTATTCATCGATGTAATGATTGAGACTGGGTGCTAAATAGGAACTGAGCGCAAAATAACAAGGGTTGTGTCAGTGTGAGAAAATCCAACAATGACTCTTGTGTGCGTTGTGAATAGACTGAACGGCGAAAAAATTCATCCACAAATTTGCACGAGGGAAAAACAAAACCGAGTTCGAACGTACCGTGCTTGGAGATTTTGTAAAGTGTCGTACGAACAAGTGAGTTGTCAGAGGTGGGATTCGAACCTGCGTCCGCAGGAAGGAAACTTGGGGAAACTTGGAGAAACGGCTCTCCACTAATCACGGTCAATGTTTTCAATTGCCTGTCTTAGTAAACGAAGCACTAGCACATCATCAACCCCATATTTTGCGCAAGACCTTTCTCACGTAACACTGTACAGTCCTGTGCACACATTGCACTGCCACGTGTTTTTACTTGCTCACTTTTGAGATCCTTACAACAACCTTCATTCACAGGATGCCATTACATGCACTATGATAGTTCTCTTTAGGCCCCTGTACACGAATCAGGGCAACTACAATACCGATCGATTTGGGTCAATGGGCTTTCTAGTGCCTAATTATATACATACTCATACAGACTAATGAACTGGAAATCGAAATAGTAATGTTTAAATGCATCGAAATTCGTCTGTCGTTTCTAAGCTCACTTTTGAGTTTGAGCGGTCTGCAATGGTAAGTCTCCGATAGGTTATTACTCATATTTTCTGCCAGATCTGTATAAATCTTTACGGAACCACCCTAATTCTTTTTTGGAATAAAGGTGATACGTCGTAAAAATATTTGATTTTAATGCAACTTATGTGCGCTAGGGGCAAAACTGAATGCATGAACTCATAAAATCAGCAGATATAATCAATGGTGCCGCAACGAGTAAAGTGCGAGTACTATATAGATTGGCCAACTCGGATACTTGACAGGAACCTGCACATGGCTAACCGTCGATCGCCTGATAATTACGAAAACTTGGGCGTGGGATTTTACCGGATGTTTGAGGAAAATGTGCCCGCAACACGGGCATTATCGTCTAAGCGACAATAAAGACACCGAACTCTAGATAGTCAATTTAAGAAGTTGAATCCCGAGTTGTCATTCCTAATGGTGCAGTAATTTGTGAACATGCTGGGTTTTGTATTTTCTATAGAAGAAAATGTTGGTGACTCAAGTAGCGTAGATGGTCGTTGACTTGTTCGCTGAACTGTGCAATTTGACTGCAAACGTTCCATTACGAATCGAGCAAAACCGCCAAGCAATCGTCACGCACCACTACTTTCCCAATAGCGCACTGACAAATGTCACCTTGTTGGTGATGAAACATTTGCAAGTGAACTGTCCAGCTCATCAAATAAACCAACGACTAGTTTTTATTGTTTTCTCAAACTTTTTTGTGTATGATATTACATAAGGAAATACCTACAAAGTGGTGTACGGTAGGGGTGCCCACTCTCTATTCCTATGTAATCTCACTGTCAAACATATAATGTGAGCAACGCTGAAATGTCTTCAAAACCTTATGTTACAATAGCTCCTGGAAAAAATCTTGTTGACCTCTAATATCTAGCCGATGTCATTCTCGTCTTCTAAGAGGAGAAGAAGGCGCGTTTTTTATTCTAGGAGATGACCAAAGTCATTCAGTTCGTTGGCATCCACCTTGCACACACGAACTCTAAGGTCGTACTCCTGGATATACGGCCGCTAAACATGTCGCTCGAAGCTTGGAAGCTGTATTAGTGCGATGTTCAGGCACGAAGCTGCAAGCCGCAGGTCACGTTAGCTAATTTGAATTACTTATGGCATCAAAGCTTTATGTTCATAAACCTGAAAGGCTACAATACCGAACTTTTTGCACAGCTGGGAAACTTGGCCTTTCGGTCGGCGAGGCCGAGAATTCTTTAGGTGTTCGATAACCATTGTATCAGGACCATAGCGCGTGTGCTTTGGTGTCAGAAAATCTGTAACAAGGCAATCGGACAACAAGTGTTTGGTTGTTTATCGAGAAAGTTTATGGAAATCCGTGTCAATTACCATAAGATACTTTGGTTAAGCCACGTATAACTCGTATCAAAATGTTCAGCTGTAATATCTTCACTGTGCAAATCTGCCTTGCTACTCGAAGGAAGCACGAGAGCTGGGATATTGTCAGGTTGCTCATTTGTATACAGGGGAAGTAAAGAGTCATCAGTCGCATTCAAACCACGGACCTGCCAGTCAATATATTCGCGCTCTATCCACCTGACCATCTGGCTCAGGCCAAGGTTTGCGTACGCCAAACCAACATTTTCTAAGAAAAATGCTGTTTCTCGTGCGAATTCAAAATGGAGCAACTACAGGTGTAGACCCAGAATGCTTGTGATAGGCTGGCACCTTGTCCTTTCATCACCCATTTTCTCTTTTTATAATGAGGCTCTCAAATAAGTTATGGTTTTGAGCAGTGATTTGGACAAACGGGATGAGCTAATAATACCTTGGAAGTACCCAGGGTAGAAGGACAATCAGACTCATGTTTTGAGTTTTAAGTTTGGTACTACAATTATCTAATTGGCTTCATTCGTTGCGATATTTTACAGACTCTCATTTTCGTTAGCTTTGAAAGCAAATATTGCTTAAATTCCTGAAAGAGGGTTTTCTAAGGAGGTTCTAGCTGGATTATTCGTACTTTTGGGTTCAAAGTGTCTGGAAAAGCATTGTGGTTTGGCTGTTTCAGCCTTTTTGCGGTTAAAAATGTGGCACACTGCAAAGTACTGCCGGGCTTTTTCTTTGCCCAGAAAGCTAAACATTTCCTGAGATTTTTGTTAGCTCTGCTGATATACATGGCCGCTGCGCGCCGAGGACGTCAAAAGACTTTCAGTGTTTGACCATCAATGTCTTCGGAGCATTGCCCGAATCTGGTGGGAACACCGGATCAGCAATTCTGAAG